TCGGGGGGGCGACCTGCCCGGGTCCTCCCAACGCTTCGGCGAGGCTGCCAGAGGGGGCCTTGGCAGATGGAAGCTATTTAGGGGTTTAGGGTTTAGGGTTTAGGGGTTTAGGGTTTAGGGTTTAGGGTTTATAAAGGTGTTTTGCTGCTTGCGGTTGAGTCTAGGCTTCCGAGACTGGCTAGGCTTCTCTCCTTTTGCAGGTTTCTTGACAGGGGTAAACATGGTAAAGCTTCGGGAAAAGGTGTTCCGCTGGGAGGGCCCATTGGGCAACGCATCCGGCAAAAGGCAGGTCCCGGATCCTAGCGACATGAATAGCGATAGCCAATCCCTACGCCCTAAACCCTAAACCCTAAAACATCTAGAAGCAAAGCCCCTCAGTTTGATCCCAAGGACCTGCGGATTCTCGCCCCTTAGAAGCCCCAGAATAGGACCTATGATTTGTTGGCCGAAATAGTCCGCAGCTGGCGTCTTTTAAGACTTCTGAGGTTAATACAGGTTCTCGGCCCTAGACTTCACCTGGACCCCAAATAACCCACCTTTAATAGGGTTCCTTATTATGGCTTCTTTGTATAAGTCCTGAAAAAAGGTGGGTTCTTTTGGGGTTCAATTTAGGGTTTAGGATTTCGGGTTTAAGAGCTTAATAAACGTAGAAAAGGGTTCCCTAAAGGCTTCCTTAAGAGGGGTCTTTAAGGATTGCCGCAGACCTTGCCCGAAGAAACCGCCAGCTTGCGCTCCCGAAGAAGTTTGCAGTTCCCACCGCGGCGAAATCGGCGTCTTTGGCCGCACTTGGGTGAACGCTGGTTTAGGTTTTGGTTTAGGGGTTTAGGGTTTATAGGGTTTGTAGAGTTTATAGGTTTTATAGGGCTTATAGGGTTTATAGGGCTTATAGTGTTTATAGGGTTTATAGGGTTTATAGGGTTTAGGGGGTCAGGCTTGGGGCGTCTGCGTTGCCAGGTCCGCCTCAATCATATCCAGCGTCCCCGGCTTTTAGAACGGCTGTGAGAATGGCCAGCTTCGCCACCTTTTTGCACCCGAAACCCAATGAACCCTAAACCCTAAACCCTAAACCCTAAGCCCCAAAGCCCTAAACTAAACGTTGTCCTCTGCGACCTGGCTCCCTGCTGGTAGCAGCAATGCTGGCAGCAGTTCATGATATGTTAGCCTATTCGATAACATAGTATAGTATGGTATAGTATAGTATGATATTACATATATGATACAACAGAATTATAGGTCCTACTTCAGAGGCCCTCCTCGTTTCTCTGTTTTCTGTTCTGGGCTCCCTTTTCATGTGAACCATATGACAAAGGGAACCTTCTTCCTTCAATGTGGGTGCTAAGATCCCCTATTTTCATCCCCATGCAGCTAGAGTCTGCAAGGTACCTGACAGCCCTGTTCCAACACAAGAAGAGCAACCTAGACATTACAGTAGGTATCACATTATGTCATATTCTGGTGTATTAAACTGTGCTACATTATGTTGTATTTTTCGTGTATTATAGCACATTATATACCGTATCTGTACTGTACTACACTACAACATGTTATGTTATGTTATGTTCTACTCTTTTCCATTCCATGCCATCCCATTCGATTCTATTCTCAAACCGTTCTATTCTGTTCTATTCTATTCTA